GAAGGAAATCGTGACCACTTTGTTCCCAGAACACTCGGACAAACCTATTAAGGATTTTCAAGTCCACGGAAACTTTGATCTTTTCGTAGCGAAAGTCATGAAGTCTCCGGGACAGTGTCCCGATAGAGATCATTAAAGCTATAGCGCTCGAACGCCCGACTATTCTCCTGAACATGTACGATGCTTGCCTCCAAGCAGGTATTTTTCCAACAATATGAAAGGTATAGAGGTTAGTGCTTCTAGACGAAGGAAAGGGTCCACCCAAAACACCTTCATTGTTTAGACCACTATGTATGTTAGACGACGCGGGCAAGATGCTTGAAAGGCTTATTCAACAGAGAATACGTGGTGCAATCGAAGACGCCGGAGGATTATCCGCCCATCAACATGGATTCCGACCGCGTAATTCAACTGTAGGAGCACTGCGAGAGGTGGTGCATGAAGCGTATACGGCCTGGCGAGGAAATCACCATACTCGCAGCATTTGTGTTCTGATCACCTTCGATGTGGGTCGATATCATGGATGCCCTAGAGGAGCGCTTCAAGATTCCGGCATACCTACTACGGGTAATTAACGACTACGTCTCCAATAGAAGTCTGATCTACGAAACCTTAGAAGGTCAGCAGGTTCAGAAAGTCACTGCCGGTGTAGCTCAGGGTTCTCCACTTGGGCCGGACCTGTGGAATGTGATGTACGATGACATTCTAAGAGTGGAGCTGCCGAAATATGCCTGACTAGTAGGGTTCGCTGACGATATCGCTGCCGTGGTAACAGCTAGGGAGATGGAGACTGCGCGCCTAGAAACCCAGATTGTAGCGGTGCACCTTTGGATGAAACAGCACGGCTTAGAAATGGCTGCAGACAAGACCAAAGTGACTGTACTCACCAGGCAAAGACTGCATCCCCTACCCCTGGTGCTGAACCTTCCGGTAGCCACCATCACCTCCCATGAAATGGTGAAGTACTTGAGAATATTGTTGGACCAAAAGCTGACTTACAAGCAACATCTCACTGAAGTGGCAAACAAAGCTACAAAAGTTGTGGCCGCGCTATCTAGGAGTATGCCAAACATTGATGACCCTAGAGGTGATAAGAGGCGGGTACTGATGAACGTCGCTAATTAAATCATGCTATACGGACCGAAAATCTGGGCTAGGACAATGACCATCGAAAACTATAGAAGAAGACTCGTATCAGCCCAGAGAACGGCAGCTTTGCGAATATCCTCAGCGTATCGCACCGTCGCTGAGGGGGCCATACGACACCAGAGACCCACCACAACCTCTAACTGCAGTCAGGCAACAGACCATCCGTGAGTGGCAGGAAAGATGGGAGAACGACTCTAAGGGTTCCTGGACGCACACGCTTATACAGCAGATTGAACCCTAGTACTGTAGGAAACATGGGGATGTAAACTTCTACATAACTCAGTTTGTTACAGGGCACGGGAACTTCAACCGATACCTCAACGTGGCATATGATCTCGTCCTTCGTGAGGGAATTGCTAAAACTGAAGAAGGCAGACGATAGAGCACAAACATCCCCGAACTCCTAATCCGGCAAACCCGGGATGGGAGATGTAGGGTGCGATCGGACGAGTACTATGAGGAAAACTGAAGAACAACAAGATGATGAAGACAAGACAGCCTGCGTGCGTGAAGTTATGCCATCTTGGCGGTTCCAGCACAAAGGCGGTTCGCTCCAGTTTGCGGCCTGGCGACGGTCCTGAAAAAAAACCTGTACCAGTTGGAATGTTTTTCATTTTTGTACTGCTCAGACATTATGACCATGTCCACCCCGTATTACTGCGTCGTTTGTTGAAGCACATTTTGAGCCAACTTGGACCTGTTCAGATTACATTGGAGGATGCAGGCCATGGAGTTTGGTGGTTGCCTGGTTCACCAGTTTCCTAAAGCCAGGACACCTAATTTGGTCTGCTCGATATCCAGATGTCTTGCAGGCAGTGCAAACCGGGGTGTTATCGCAGTCTTTCCGTTGATGTCCTGCCTGGCCGCAGTTCCTGCAATCACCTCTCCTGTCAGCTCCAGTACATCTTCCAGCTCTATGGCCAAACTCTAGGCAGTTGAAGCAGCGCAAGATCGAGACCCGTTCCTTCACCGGCCGTATAGACCAGGTGGTCACTACACGTCCCTTTTGAATTAGGTGCTTCGCTGGTACCTTATCCATTATCACCGTTGCCGTGTGGTTTCCAAATTTACCCACTTTAGTGCCGCTACCCGAAAGCGAGAGCCCTCAATGCCGGTGTCAGTCGTAATAGCTTGCGAGACTTCTGCCATCGTTACCGAAGGGTCGATGCCAAACACAAAAAGAGTGACGTCCAAATTCCTTGTGCGTCTTTGACCTTCGACGCTATTTCATCTCTTAAGGCATTTGCCCTACCTTCTCCTTCCACCACAAGGACTAGGTCACCATTTTCTTGCTTCCTTATATTTGTGACATTAACATCTATCTTCTTTATGCCTACGTTTTATTTAACCGTTCTGACCAATTCCGCAAAAGTTTTCCCTTGCCCTTTAACCACCACTGTTTCCTGTCGTGCTCCACTTTTTTGTCGATCTATTGGCTTTGGTTTTGGCCTACCTGTTGCAGCTGCTATTTTCCCTTGTATAGCATACTTCACCTGTATCCCACTTTTCCTGAAAACGCACGCCAGAAGTTTTCTACTGTAATTTTTATCCAGTTCCTCTGGGGTAGTTACAATTATTTTGTGACGACTGTGCTTCATAGTTTCCTCCCTCAAGTTGCATAAGACTTGGTATAGGTCTCGCATAACATTTACTCCATTATGGTCCACTTTATAAGGCAGTAGGAAGATAAATCTCGATTTATTGTCCTATCTTCCACGGCTCGTCGATATTTTAGTAGACATTTCCATGAATTCTACTCCACCTCCTAACATTTGACCACCGAGTAAGTCCGAAATTTCTGGGTATCGGTCCTTGACTACCTTGACCTTTTGCTGCCGGGCTAGCAGCATCTATAACCAGAGCCACGTCCCACTCGTCGCCTACCTTAAACGGATTAGGCCCCAGGCACTCCGTTATATCATACACGCATTCAGGCCATTCAGTGTTCAAGAGGGTGGCGAATTTTTCAAAGGAACTCCCATTTTTTACTTCCTTTTTAATTTTTGTTGCCTGGTAGTCTATGTTCGCTTGCGTCCCTACGTCCTTGGTGCTACAGCACCTCTCTCTCTTGACGTAGTCGTTTCGACCTGCGTATACGCTTCTGAGGTCTGACAGCCAATATGCTCAGTACGTAGTTCTTCGAACTCACGTAGCATTTGCAGCACCGTATCCGCAATTCGGGTCATCACATTGACTCCCTTTTTTATTTCAGCCTTGGTATTTGCAGGCACTATATCAATCAATTCCGGAACGTGACAGCTTTTGCATCAGTCCTCTCATTTCCCCTATCAGCTCTTTTTGTTCCACATTTGCTGCTTTCCGACTCTCCTTCGGATGGGTTTCCTCCCGCGCTCTCTTCAATGACTGACTGTCGGCGAAGATGGGGTCATCTCCTGCCCCTCGGAGGCGTTCGTTATAAGGAGTCCCTCCTTTCAAAAGGATTGATGCTCCCCACATCGTCCATTACCGTTCCAGACACTGTTTCTTCCACTCCCGCCTGGTTGCTCACGGGAGTTATCGCCCTGTCACTGGCTTACGGTCGGGCGGGGCCAGAGCGAGCACCACCATCACCGACCGGTACTGGGGTTCCGAGTCCCTGCACCGTAACTTCTACCTTCTGCAAATGTCTATCCATATTTCAAATTTTATTTTGTTACCGTTTCCATTGCCAAGTCGTCATCTATCCACCCATAGTCGTTCCATAGCCATTGCATCGTCCAGTCCGTTGCCAAAACATCGTCGTCCGGTCCGTGCTGGTATGCTTCAGCTTTTAAGCGTCCGAAGACCCGATTTTGCCCTTCCTTTTGGCGATATAACTCTATCGGGGAGCCCTCCCAGCGTCATACCTTCGACGGACACCTGCCGAACTCAGTGTTAAGTTCGACGAAGGTGGGATATAGGACTTGTTGGTTCTTATCTTTTGTAGACTGTGGGCATTTCACAAGGGTTTTATTGTAGTGGAGTACCAGCACCTCACACCCCCCCCCCCCCCCTGGAACCAGAGACCAACCGTTTGCCCACCAGTATTAGTACTAGTATTAGTATTGTTGTTGTTATTGTTACTGTTATTGATATTATTATTATTGTTATTATTATTAATTATTATTATTGTCTGATGTGCTAATCTATACTAGGGTGTCGAGATTGAGGAACAATCTACCTGGGGAGGCTTTTCCCAGATCTATTAATCTAAGGCAGGTCATACATCCTAACAAAGTTTCTTTAAGCTCCTTATAAACTCGGCTGAACCCGTATAATGTAAAATATTCAACCCTATCTGTGATGAACTATGTATTTGATATTATTAAATTGAGAAGAAATTATATATTTGGAACAAATAAATCTATCAGGTCAAAACAGCATAACCAATACATAAGAATTTTTTTTGCTCAAACTACTCAATTGATTTAGGAACTGAGATCGACACCAACAGAAGAGAAAGAAAAATATTTTCTGCGCCACTCAGTTTTTTTAAACGCTTATTGCGATAATTTTACATGAAATAAAATACCTTTATAATAAACATAAATGCATTCTACTTTGAAAATACGCTGAACTATATTAGGAATGTATTATAATGTTACCATAGTATTATTTAGAAAATATTTATGTTCTACCCCAATTAGTAGCGTAGAAAATCTTAACTTCTGGAAAGAAGATATTTTAGGACCTTTGTTTATGGGAAGACTACATTTTATATTGGAATGTACTTTCTGTTTTCGGAATAATGACTTTGTTTTTTGTATCAGCCTGTATATCTCTCTGGAAAAAAGCTTGTTTTATATATATATATATTATTTGTTAGGAAAGTCCAAACTCATCGTGTATATATGTATATCTTCATATTTCAGGACCAACTGCTCTTCTGCGACGACTGCGATCGTGGTTACCATATGTACTGTTTACATCCAGCATTGGTCAATCCACCAGAAGGTTCGTGGTCTTGCAAGCTCTGCGTGGAGCAGTTCCATAAATAAAATTAATACTTTATCTCCCGAAAATATTTTTTTTAGTATTATAAACTTATTAATGTCAAGATCGTGCTGTTATTCCAGTAAGGGCCTAGCTAACACTGGATGTTTGGTTATTTTTCTTAATGCCATCCCGTGTGCGTTAGCCCTAAAGCGGTACGATATGATTTTAACTACGCTCGGCGTCAAAACTGCACCACACTACATTGGAAAGTATTTGCTAACTACTTTTTGGGCCGTGAAAAGGGCCCGGAAGGGGCTTATGTGTTGGCTACTCTTGCTTGCATTAACTTATCTCTTCAACGTTATTTACCACCGCCCTTAGCAGGATACTTACCAACCTCACACGTAGCATCATTCCTTTGCGCAGGGTGAAGGGTTGAATCATGTTTGCAAGTACAATATAACAATGTAGACAATCCACAAAACCTTAAAATTGAATTTTTGTGCATTTCTCCATGCTATACCCGTTGTCAAAAGTCGTGTTTTGAGTGACCGGACCAATAATGTTTGATGATGAGGTGACTATGAAGTGGAATGGAAAATTGATAATTCAAAAAATTAAGACAACTGGATTTGTAAAACGTTTAAAGAGTGCTTTAGGTTTATGAATGTTACGATCCTCGTCTGCAGATTTTGACTAGTTTAAATTTTTGAGCTGGAGAAGGTCAATGGATATTTTATTGTTTTTCTAATCTAAACTTTTTAGTTGTTCAGAATATATTATTTGTCGTATTTCAAAATGGATTCATAAAATCGCGTAGAAAGTACCGAGTACTATTTAATACGTCTCCAATTCAAAACCGTTTTGAGTAAAACTAGAAACAGCATTCTCGAATGTTTATCACTTGTCTGCTTGAAAATTCGAAAAAGAATGTACCGAGTCAAAAAACCTTACATCGTAATAGTGCATACGAGTAGAGAATATTCAATTTGTTGTTAACTATGGTTTTTAAAAGCAGAGAGTATCAGGCCCCTGCCGCGCCATTAACTTGTTTCTTTTCGAACATTCCAATTCTGATGGAAAAGCCGACGATCGAGATATCCCTGTGGCGAAGGCTATGAGTAAAATGAATGAGCAGTATCAGATCACCTAATTATGCAGCGTTGCCAAATCTGTGGTGCCACAATAAACAGATTATTTATAGGGTGCCAGGCTCTCAAACTATTATATTATTTTCATATCGGTGTGTAACATGTGGCGCGACCTCTTAGAATACGGTCAAAGTTTTGGAATATACAGGGTGACTTTGAAGTTGAGTCATTAATTTTCAGATAATGATTGTAGAAGGAAGATAAACCAAAATATGTGTGTAAAAATTAAAAAAAAATTTTACCTTGTTTTATAAAGATCCTCCCGACAAGTATTTCAGTGCGGACCTGTATTTGATCGTGAAGTCTTGGAGCACCGGCATGCCCTCCCCTGTGAGGTCTTAAGTCACCTGATTCACGAGCCCGTTGTACTACATTAACAAAGGCACGAGGGGTTGGTTGCACTCGATTGGGAAACCGATCCACATAAACATGTGCCATTTTTTATTTCGTTTGAGCCACGCAGCAAACACCACTATTCACTCACGCGTTACCGACTGACACATTGACTGAATAAAAACATCGTGATCAGAGTTTCAAATTCTTTCGCTTTTTTGTTTCCGATGCGATGAACCGATAAGGCGGATTATATCCGTTGTTTCCAAACACGAGCACATAATATTATTATTGAGACAGGGCGGTACTCAAACATCTAAAGGGCTATAACTTTGTTACTTTGATTTTACCACAAAAATGTTAAAGGAAAAAACATTTCTTTTGATCAGATCTACTCACTGTTAAAATAAATGACTCAACTTCGAAGTATGTGCAAGAAAAGGATGAAAATATGGCTTCCATACTAAAATTTGTTATTTCGTTGGTAGGAAGGTGGAGATGCAAATCCGGTTGTTTAAGATCCAAAACAAAGTGGCACCCAAAGTGCTACCTTGAAAAAATGGTGTCAGAGTGACATCACATATAACAATTTGGTGCCACAAATTCCAGTTTTACATCTACCATATGTATATATAACTTGAGACGTGGTCATTGTCGTCTAGACCGGTTAGGTGAAAAAATAAAGCGTCCGCCTTTAGTTGAGTACTTCGACAAGATTAAGGCGATGAGGACTCTTTATACTTTATTAGTCTCTAGCTTTCGACAGACTATGCCATCATCATCAGGACCTACAATAACATTAGGAAGAAATAGACGGTTCTGTTCTATCACCAATTATGGCAGAATATGTTATGGATGATCTGATAGATACTGTTATTCCGACACTACCCTATAGCCTCCTCTTCATAAAAAAATACGTAGATGACATCATTTTGTGCTTTCCCTCCAGAGGTTTAGATAGTATTGTCGAAGATTTCAACAGCTATGGCCCCTACATCCAATTTACCATTGAAAAAGAGAATGAGAACCTGTCTGTCCCTTTTCTAGTCACAAGACTCATCCGCACCAACAATAATAGTTTATTGGTAGACTGGTACCAGAAACCTATGTCTTCAGGCCGTTTCCTCAATTTCAGGGCATACTATAAATGAAGAATTAAAATCAACTTGGTGAAGCAGATGAAAACAAGGGTAATTAGCTTCTCTCACAATACTTTCCATACTTCAAACTTACGAAAGCTATCAAAACTTTTCATCAACAATAGTTATCCGAAGTATTTCATTAACAAGATCTTGTTCAGCTCTCCTTCCAGTATTTTTCCAAATACTAATAATCGAAATGGTATTCTCACAACGCCTAATAATAGAACCGATATAATTCCCAACAACAACACCAATTCCAATATTAATATAATCGCCATCCCAAATTCCAGATCTCGTTTTGCTGTTCTACCCTACATCAAAGAACTGACCCCTAAGCTGATCAGACTATGTGCCTCGTTGAAATGTCGAATTGCTTGCAAATCCGTCCTATAAACTGTATTTTTTCAAAGATGCCCCGTTGCTTGGTTTGACCAACACAGTGTACTCCATTAATTGCAACCAAATTTATATACTCGTAGGTCAAACTTCCAGATCTCTAAAAGGAAGTATTACATCACACAAAAGTGATTCTAGTCTTCATCCCGAGAGATGTGCTCTGTCAACTCATATCAATACAACAGGGCACTTGATGAACTACACAAAGGTCAAAGTTCTTGATAAAGGAAAACACCTATCCAAACGTTTATTCCTTGAAATGACCCATATTTTCATTAATAACAACTGTATGAATAAAAAGGCACATGTACATCATCTGAGCGTCATTTACTCATATTTGCTAAACTGCGACTAGTTGGAGCACTCACATATCTCTCCTAATGTTGATTTTTCACAACCATAAATGGAATCTGTTTTTTTTGGTCTATTCCATCCTTTTCCTCCAAAGTTCCAGCCCATTCAAAATTTTAATAATTAATGTTTTTTCTCATAATAAAGTAATTGTTTAATTCAATTGTCCATCTCATCAATAATATAGTTTGTTCAACTGCCTCTTGTCTGTCGACAAGTTTTTATTTAACATATCTTGATAAATCACACCATCTCAAGTAATTTGGCAACATAGGACACATTTTTAGAAACTTTCGTTCCATCCATCGACACTGACACTACCAGCCTTCTGTCATTTGTCAAATGTTTCATTCTCCTTATGATCCTGTCCCACACCATTTTCTGCAGCATCAAGTGGTTGTTTCACGATGTAACATGAAATAATTTTGATTTTCATTTCAAATATTTTTAATCCGTTGTGATATGTGCCTGACATACAGCTGCGTGTGTTTTTTACCAATTTTAACGAATGTACCATGAATCCAGCATTCAGCAGGTTACTAAATGTTGCCATCAACTTAATCTTTAATAACATTTAGTAATAATCTCACATACTGTTGTAAGTAATTTAAAATCATTTTGCACAATAGTTGCTATTCCTTCCTAATGTTATTGTAGCTCCTGATGATAGACCGTCGAAAGCTAGATTCTAATAAAGTATAAAGAGTCCTCATTGCTTGAATCTTGTCGAAGTACAACTAAAGGCGGAAGCTCTATTTTTCACACACACACACACACACACACACACATATATATATATATATATATATATATATATATATATATATATATATAAAAAGAGAAAGTTATCATGCGGAGAAAGGTATATAACAAAAATAGGAAAATAATGGGCAAAATCCACAAAAAGTGGATTCGAGCAGAAAATGGGATAGGTAACCCGAGCGATACGTATTTCTGCTGGTTGGCTTCATCAGGCCCGAAATGAATGCACATATGCAACTACAAAAGTAGATACACATGCCCATACATCCGGATACGGGTGTAACCTGAGGAAACGAAGATGTTTTTATTACATTTATTTTTGATTACAAAGGAAATAATGGGGGGAGTAAATAGCTGCCTACTTAATTGTGATTATAAGAACAATACTGGTTTGTTATGTGAGTAGCATACAATAATCCTAAAGTTAGTGAAAGATAACAAATTCTAGTTACTATTCCTTATCTTTCTATTATTAGCCGCTTCTATATTAACAGATCTAAATCTAGGGGCAATAGTGTCCTCATCTTCTTCCTGTTGATTTCTGAGATGATACTCTTTGATAGCATACTCAAAGAACAACTCTATTTCAAAGTTGGGTCCTAAGTACGCGGCTTCCATCTCTCCAATTCTCACTGTAGCCAATTTTGATCTCATAGTCAGATATCCGGTTATACAGTTAGAAATTCCTATAGCCACAGGATCTTTGTCCATATAAAAGTTTACAAAAGTGGGATTTTCATACCTGGCACATGTTGTAGCAATTATCGAAGCAATACGGAAGTGTTGTCGGCTTAAACTTGCTGTTTCCTCTTTATTTTTTAACAGCTTGATATACATCACATTATCATTTTTTTCTTGTTGAAGAGTTCTTAACGCATTACCATGATGAATTGCTATATCTGCTATCATGTAAAATCCCTGCAATTCTCAGTATTTCTTGAAAATATAAGTGTCTATTAGCACAAGATGATGTATCTCAGTGCCCTTCATCAACTGTAAAATATCCCTGCAAATCAAAGTCTCTGATGTTGCTGTGAATTGTTGAGATATTTCGAGGATAACCAGAAAATAGGATTTCCTTAATGCAAAATTGGCTGACATGAATGATTCCAGCTTAGATACATATTTAGTGTAAGAGCGCAGGTCTTCCCAGATTTCACATATATCAGAATTACCTACTGATCCTGAGAATGTTTTTAATCTATTCTTGACCCAATTTTCAGCATTATCTTCGTTTATATGTTTTACCATGCAGAGGATAATAACTGCCATGATAACGAGACAATATTCTTTATCTGATAGAATTTTTCCAAATTCTTCGGTAGCCTCCAAGTCTTCAAGAAGACCGTGATAATGATGGCTTCTCAACAGTTTCACCTCATCCTTGTCAATCTTTCTAAAATCTGGACTAATCCCAGCTAATTTGAGTGTAGATTCCAAGATGACTCCTTTGATGATAGATTCTGCATCTCCAAGAGATAGGATTACCCCCACCAAGGATCTTGCCAACTTTCTACTGGTCATGTTATCTACCTCATCTTCAGGGAGATCATAATCATAGAAATGAGAAATGTGATACAAAGCCAATCTTGACCAATATTTTATCTTTTTCTGGGATAATTCATTTGGTCCATAGTATATAGTCAGATCTTCTTCCTCCCATTTGTTAATCTTAATGCCAACCTTCTCTATTTTCGGATAAAGTCTATGAGTAGATAGGGTGGACAAACTTCCCGCTTTCCCTGAAAAGTACTTCTTTTTCACGGCTGCCAGTGCTTAAATACTCTTTTTGAGTTATGTGTTAAGGTTTTATCTGTACGTGCTTTTATTGAACTATATTTAATATTATGATTCAATAACGTAGAAAGATATAATCTTGATATCAGTTACACCAGTATCCGGATGTGTGGGCATGTGTATCTACTTTTGTAGTTGCATATGTGCATTTATTTCCGGCCTGATTACGCCAACCAGCAGAAATACGTATCGCTCGGGTTACCTATCCTATTTTCTGCTCGAATCCACTTTTTGCGGATTTTGGCCATTATTTTCCTATTTTTGTTATATACCTTTCTCCGCATGATAATTTTCTCTTTGTAGATCCTTTGGGCTTGAAGTACCACAGCAAGTGGCTATAACCGGCCGCGTGGTTGTGGTTATATATTTATATATACAGGGTGGGGCAAAAGTCGCGAAGGGATTTGAAAAATTAATAACTTTTTTAAATTTTAATTTTAATTTTTTTCCCTAACACAAAACTAAAATGCAATGTTTGGAGTTTGTTTACAATTTAAGTGTGAAAGATTACATCACGCAAATGACCGCCATTTTCAGCCTCGCAAAGTGCAGCTCTTGCAAGAGCATTTTCCATTACCCGAGTCAGAATATCTGGCCCCAAAGCACTTACTTCTGCTCGAATATTATCTTTTAGTTGCTGCAGGGTTGTGGGTTTATTAATATACACTTTTCCTTTCAGATATCCCCAAAGGAAATAATCAGGGGCTGTTAAGTCCGGCGAGCGGGCGGGCCAATTGAATCCTGAATTTCTCGAAATTAAACGTTCGCCAAAAATCTGCCTTAGAAGGTGCATAGTGGCTCGAGCAGTATGCGCAGTGGCTCCATCTTGTTGGAAAGTCATCGTTTGATTGTCAGCAAGAGCTGGTCTTAAGAAATTTTGAATCATATCACGATATCGGTCGCCATCTACAGATACAGCATTCCCATCGTGGTCTTCGAAGAAGAATGGTCCAATAATTCGTTGAGACGTAACTGCGCACCATACTGTACATTTAAGCGGATGTAATTGCCTTTGATGAACCACCCTTGGGTTCTCGGTACCCCATATTCTGCAGTTCTGCTTATTTACGAAGCCATTCAAATGAAAATGGGCTTCATCGCTCATGATCAGAGAATGAATAAATTCATTATCTTCTCGAGCCATTCTTTGCAAGCGAACTGCATAAGTTAGTCGTTCTTGAAAATCTGCTGGTTTTAGTTCTTGCACTAGCTGCACTTTATATGGAAACAGATGTAAATTTCCTCTTAATATTCTGCGTAAAGACCTTTGAGACATCTGCAGCTCAGCAGAACGTCTTCGGGTTGAGGTTTCCGGATTCTCCTGAACACTCTCCTGAACGCGTTGAATGTTCCCTTCATTTCTTGCGGAACGTGGCCTTCCGCTTCGTGGGAGATCCATAACTGTGCCTTGTTGCTGAAATCGTGCCACTAAGCGTCGAATCATTGATTCAGAGGGCGAATTCCGCAAATTGAAATGACGACGATATGCTCGTTGAGTTTGAATTATTGAATGGTGATATTCAAAATAAAATTCTATAAGTTTGGTTCGTTGATTGAGGTTGTAACGCTCCATAATTAATCTCCAGGATTTATTTTACACGGTCCTGAAAAAAAAAATGAAAACAAAATAAATTTAAAAAAGTTATTAATTTTTCAAATCCCTTCGTGACTTTTGCCCCACCCTGTATAAGGGGTGGCCCATCCGTGCGTGGACGAAACATTACTCATAAACAAATACATTTTGGGAAAATCTATTTATGGCATGTTATTCATGACATTTGGGGGCATATTTCTAAAATATTGGCAATTATACAGGGTGTCCCAATTTTGACCTACATATCAAAGTTGTTATTTTTTAATAGAATGCCTCAAATTTTATTGCATGTTTGGATAAACCAATTCAAAAGAAGAAGATTGATATAACATACTATGGGTTCTTGGTAATTAGCTACAGAGATGTAAGGTGTTTTGTCCAGAAAAACCGTCCACTTCGGCAACTCCTCAATCCGCCATTTTGAAATTTGTGGTGCTGAATTTTGTAACAAACAAAACTTACACACCTCAGCTTTTATCTTATTTGTTACTTTTTAGAATTTTCATTTTCTCATGCAGGGTGGAATTGTACTTTTTCTCAAAAATTTCAAATGCATCACTCTGTATATTTGTGCAAGTTTGGATTCAATTTTTTATAAGCTTTTTTGGTATAAGGTTTGATTCAGATAACACCTATGGTGTTGAAAGTTGCCTCATCGCTAAAAAGAACCATTATCCAGGAAGGTAGTGTCTTGACTCACTTTATTTAGCATTATTCTACTAAACTCCATTCGAGCTGCGAAATCCTGAGGACAAAGGCCTTGATGCAAGCATATGTGATATGGATGGTACCTATGCTTGTGGTTAATCCTTTGGACCGAAGTTCTGCATACATCTGTTTCTGCTCCAATTTGCCGTGCACTTAAATGGGGATTTTTCTGCAACTTTAATAGAACCTCCAATTGATTTGCCTCATTGGTGACACTTGGATTATTTATACATTTTTTACTATATTCCACTGCTCCACTTGATTCAAAATGCTCTCGTAGTGTTGAAACTGTTTCCGGCCTTGGATGTCGCATATTATAAATGCGAGATGCTTCGCCCAAAACGAACACCATTTCTTCTTTAGAAAAATTCTTTTCCAAACACGTTTTCACTATAATGCTCACAAAGCTAATTTTGTCAGTTCGTAACTAATCAACAATTTATTTCTTTCCAAGGATGGTGCGATATTTTAGGGAATTAAGCCGTTCCATAAAAGACGTGCTAATAACCGAACAAATATCATTGAAATTTTTTAAGAAATAGTACAATTTGCGTTTTTGAGCAAAAATTTATATTCGAAAAAGTAACAAATAATATAAAAGCTGAGGTGTGTAAGTTTTATTTGATATAAAATTCAGCAGTCCAAATTTAAAAATAGCGGACTTAGAGTTGCGGAAGTGGGGGGTTTTTCTAGACAAAACACCTTATATCTCAGTATCTAATTACCAAAACCTCATAGTATGTTATACCAATATTTGTTTATGAGTAATATTCCGTCCACACATGGATGGGCCACCATATATATATATAGAGAGAGAGAGAAAGAGAGAGAGAACATGATCATGCGGAGAAAGCTATGTAACAAAAAATAGGAAAATAATGGTCAAAATTCGCAAAATGAAGAAAAGTGGATTCGAGCAGAAAATAGGATCGGTATCCCGAGCTATACGTATTTCAGTTTGTTCATCAGGTCCGAAATGAATGCTAGTTTCCTCAGGTTACAGCCGTATCCGAATGTATGGGCATGTGTATCTACCTTTGTGGCTGCATTTGTGCATTCATTTCGGGCTTGATGAAGCCAACAAGCAGAAACACGTATTGCTCGGGTTACCTATCCTATTTCCTGCTCGAATCCACTTTCCTTCTTTTTGCGGATTTCGCCCAATATTTTCCTATTTTTGTTATACGAGTATACCTTTATCCTCGTGATCATTTTCTCTTTGTCGATCCTTTGGGCTTGAAGTACGACAGCAAGTAGATAAATCCGGACGCATGGTTGTGGTTAGATGTCGCCTTGAAAATTCGATGTCTCCTAGCCATTTCATACTACAGTGTGTAGGCTGGCTCTTGTTTGTAACTTCGGGTATCATTTTTATTGTGTTTGCGAATAGGATTGAAATAAAGACTGACTATTTCTGAATACTTTCTAATTTCTACATCACGAAAAAATGGCAAGCAGTTAACTCTGCACTTCCCATGCAACACATTGTCATCAGTTAATAATAATAAAACATAAATATCTTCGGCAAAAGTTAGTAAATGGATGAAGGCCCATACAATTAGTCCCGCCACCACCCATTTGACACCGTTGCGATCTCGAAATTTCTCCTCTGCCCTTCTGACTGTTGAACTTTGTTTCAATACAATTGCGATGAGTGGCAGTGGACAGAAGGCCAACCATAAACAGGCGTTTCGCGCTTTTTGGCTAATCTAGGACTAGCCTTGGTCAATCGCATGATACTGGTACTTGGTCAATCACATGATACTGTTGAACGCGATCAGTCTATCTCTATCTAACGCGTGACGTCTCTCAGTGACAAAATGCCCCAAAGACGTTCAGTTTTATATGACGATTGTGCACGTAATTTGTGATTAGTTCATTAGTTTACTATATGATACATTATAAAGTGTTATCGCGTTGTATGTGAAGCACTTATGAAAGAATGAGGTTTTGTGAAGAGGCATAGTGAGTGTCTCAGTAAGCCATATGCCTCTTGAGTGAATCGAATTTCGAGGGATCAGCGTGTTCTTTAAAAACGAGGGAATAGAAGTAAGCAAGAGCCTGTAAGAGAAGTTTGGTTTTATTGATGCAAGTTGTTCAAGGGGGTATTTATGGACGCATAAAATAGGTACACCAATTTTTATGGGAAAACTCTTTATTCGACAACAAAGAATGAGGAAATATGTTTTCTTGGATTCAATAGAAAGTGTTTTCAGGAAACCAAAAACGCTTCGAATAAGATTTTCAGGTATTTATGAGATTTACAAAATGAGACCACACGTAGAAATATCCGACTAATAGCAAGCAAGTTATGGTCGAAAACCTGGGCAAAATGCAGGCTTCGCATTTGTTGGTTATGCGACAATAATTTCACGCAGATACTTGAAATTCTTCAAATCCGTTGGCTTCATACTTCAAAACAGCCACAACAAAATTGGAGTGGATTGGTCAAGTGA